ATGTTATTACATCTTATACTACTGACAATAATATAAGTAGCACAAACTAATAAGCTAATTTTCATACTACAGTTAAACAAATGTGAAAAGAAACGGTCTAATAAAACGCGAGTCAGTACTCTTTAAAATAGCACTATGTTTACCGGATATTTTTAATTTTTCAGAAGGCTATGTATTTTTATAATTCGGATTCTTGAAAAATGTATCTAGTTTATTATGAGTAGAACAGCTAACTTATGGACTTTATCGACAGAACTGCTTGTCTCAAGAGATCAGCATGAACACCAGATAAATCAAGAGCGGAAAAGCAGTGGGACCAAATATTATTCCAGCAGAGATACTAAAAACAAATATAGCAGTAACTGCAAAGATGTCCCAAGTTCTTTTCAGCAAGATTTGTAAGGAAGAACCAGTACCAGAATACTACAAAGAAGGGGATACCTCATCAAGATACCAAGGAAAGAAGATCGCAGTAAGTGTCAGAACTATAGAGGAATCACTTTTCTCTCAATACCAGGAAAAGTTTTCAAAAGGGCGTTGTTAAACTGAATGAAGGATTCCTTGGACGCCCAACTTGGAGATAAACAGGCTGGATTCTGTAAGGAATGATCGTATAACGACCAACGAGCGACACTACGGATCATTGTGGAACGATCAATTGAATAGAACTCACCATTATACATCACATTCCTCAACTAAGAAAGATAATTTTATAGCGTGGAAAGGATGACGTTATGGAGGCTTCTTCAACATCACGACGTGGCTGGGAAGACAGTCAACATAATAAGGAATTCTTATGATGTATTGAACTGCAAAATCGTGCATGGAGGACAGCTTACATACTAGTTCCAAGCGAAGACTTGTGTCAGAAAAGGCTGCTTACTTTCACCCTACCTCTTTCTCATGGCGGTTGACTGGATTATGAAGACCTCAACATCTCAGGGGAATCAAGGAATATAGTGGACATATAGGATGCAGCCTCATAGACGACCTAGCTCCTCTATCCAACACAGCAATTCATGCTGATGAAGATGACCGGTGAAGCAGCAGCCTCTACAGTAGTAGGCCTCAACATACTCAAGGGTAAAAGCAAGATCCTCCGAAACAAAACAACATGCTCCAATCAAATCGTACTTGATGGAGGAGCTTTGGAAGATGTAGAAACCTCTATATACCATGGCAGCATCATTGATAAACAAGGTGGATCTGGTGAGGAGGTAAAGACAAGGATTAGCAAAGCAATGGCAGTATTTCTATAAATGAAGAACATTTGAAATTCGAAACAACTGTCAACCAACATCATAGTCACAAATTTTAATACAAATGTCAAGATAGTTCTGTTGTATGGGGTGGAAACTTGGAGAACTACTAAAGCCATCATCCGAAAGATATGTGTTTATTAACAGTTGTCTACTTCAGATTCTTTGGCCAAACACTATCAGCAACAACCTACTGTGGGCGAGAACAAATCAATAAGAACTGCTGGAGGTGGGTAGGTCATACATTGTAGAAATCATTCAACTACGGCACAAGACAAGCCCTCGCTTGGAGTCCTCAAGGCCAAAGGAGAAGTGAAAGATCAAAGAAGACATTATGCGGAGAATCGTAATCAGATATAAAAAGAATGAACAGCAATTGTATAGAATTGTAATGAAAAGCCCAAGACAGAGTAGGTTGGAGAATGCTAGTCGGCTGTCTATACTCTATTGGGGTTAACAGGTATAAGTTAGTAAGTCTACGAAGAGTAGGTGAATCCATAAGGTACTCAAGATGAATCTGTAATCCTGGTCCCTTCTCATCTAATCACACTAAATAAGTTCTGCTGGATTGTGTAGAATTCCGAGTGGTTGCAAAGCTGATATTGACTGCAGTTAAGCATACGACAGACAGACAGATACAACACAAAACTACGTACGTACGTCAGTTCAGGTTGCCATACCACATTAGCACAAAGATGCAACTACCAGTTCAAATCCAATAGTGGTGAGATAGTAGAAGTATTAGTAGTAATGGAGAAGATTAGGGAGCGAAGATATGATTCGACAAGTATAATTCAGTGAGATAAAATTAGAACGAGAAAGAGATAGAGATGATGAGGAATTCAGAAGGTTAGAATTTCATAGAACACAAAGAGTGGATGCACCTGCGCCATTGCAAACGATTCTGAGCCATGTCATTCAAGGTCTCTAACTATTGGTGACTTTTGTCTCGCGGACCCCAATCAGGTAGCCTATATCTACCAACATGAATCAGGCCACTTGTAAGAGATTTCATGGATTTCTGTCATGTTTTGGTTTGGCCTCACCTAACAAGGGTTTTTTTGAGTATTAGCTCCGCTCTTAAAAGCCCTTAGAGGACACCCTTACCGCCGGAGATAGAAATCCGTGAGGTAGGGTGAGATGTGACATTTTTAGGGTCGACCTTTTCTAACTCCATCCTTCCTTCATTGCGAGAAGGCAGCATCGCTGCAGATGCTGGTTGTCTGAGGGAAACACCTTACTGCTGTCACACCCCTCCATCACAGTCAGCAGTACGACTCCGTCCTCAGAACTTGAGTAGCTGCTTTTAGTCTCATCGTTCTTCAGTCGACCTGCCTGGCATGTTAGAACCTTCAGGAACATATGTTCCAGCCAATATAGCTCGGTTGGGTCATGACGATATTCAAGCCCGACCACCAAGTCAAGGTAGCAGGTACGGTCGGGTTAAGCACACGAATCCTTGAGTGGATACTGAGCTACAATACTGTTTATAACGATTATAACAGGGATGGTAAAGATTCAAAGGATACTCGCTGATTCCTATTTTTTATTTCTCACTAATCATATGGTATTTGACAAGTAATGAGAATAACACCATCTCGATTGAATGTTTTATAAATAATATAAAACCACTTTAATCCTAAAAATATACTCACTCGATCAGTGTCTCTGTCTTTTAAAACCTATTGTATTCGAATCCAAGGCTCATTTTCATGAATGAATGTATCCGTTCAATTATTTTCTTTTCCATATATCTATTTCATCAGTAACAATCTTTATCAATATTATTGTGTGTAACACAGAAGTTGATTTTCTGCTTCAATGAATTGAATTCATGGCTATCCAAAGTTACAAGATAACAAGTGATAACAACATTGATTCTGTTTGATAAGATTGATTAACAAACGAGCTATAAAGGGATGCATCTGCGCCGTTGCAAAACATTTTCAGCCATGTCATTCATTCTAATGTCTCACGGAATCCAACCAAATAGTCTACACCTATTAACATGGCTCAGTCCAACTGTCAGCGTACTTCATATGTTTGATCTGCTCACCCCTACACCAAAAAACATAGATCGTCAAGGCAGTCAGTGGTTGTGAGGCATACGCAATACATGGCTCAAACATGTCAACTGATCAAGATTTACTACTTCATCTAATCATCTGCCATTCTTACCTAGTACTCGTTTACTAACAACATCTTTGCTTACTCTATGGTCTCAGGATAAACCAGCAATGCTTCCAAGACACCTATCATCAAATACTCGTAATCTACAAATACCCTCTATCTTAAATGACCACTCCTGACCGTACAAGGACATTTGGGACTAAACAGTATGGCAATCAACATCCACCATTTACAATCTGTTATTTTTCAAATTGAGAAATGCTAAATAACAACATGTCATCAACTAAATTAAACTCACATTATAATCATATTACTAAGTAAGAAAAACCAATACAACAAGAAATATACTCAAAGCACATAATTCTACTAAACTTGAATTAGATATTCCTATCAAATGGCTTAATACTAGATTACACACACATAACCTCAGATTATAAACTAGAAAAAAATTGAAAGTTTAACTATCTATGCATTCAAACAAATAAATATATACATATAATCATTGAAAAATTGATCATTAAAATTGATTGTAAAAGTACACCATATTTATGCATATATTTATATTTAACGATAAAGTTAATTTTCTTCACTGAATGATAACAGCTGGAGCACTAGGATACTGGTTATTCTCTTTGTTGCAATGTCGACCTTGATACATTGTTGAAATCGATACATGGAAGAAGTCAAACACTGAATACTTATACTTTTGCAGTAATAAAACGATCAATAATTGTGTTTATCTCTCTACTAAATTAGCAGATTTTTTTAATGCGTATATGATTGATCGCTGACTGAGCAGTAATCAATGTCATATCTATTTATTCTTTAATCAATATTTTAGTCCTACAAGAGGTGGTCGGTCAGTTGTAATTCAAATAGTTTTATAATAATAATAATCAGTAGTTGAAAAATGAATGATTGGAACTTCAATTCGAAGGCGGAAAAACTAGGTCGCTTAAGATTGCAAGTGCCGTTACGGGCATGACGGCGGTTGTCACTTCCCGGCTACCCACACCGTGGAAGGTTGTTTCTTGAGGAACCTGAAAAGGAAGGTGGATTAGTGTTGGTCTTAGAGACCTGGGTGCGTGACCACAGAGCCCAAAGGACAACTGCTTGAGGCCGGTCACGTACGGCATTTTTATGAAAGGTATTTTGAGGATTAGCTCCGCTCTTAGAGGACCTTAGTGGGCACCCTTACCGACGGAGACGGAAATCCGTGAGGTAGGGGAGGTGTGACATTTTTAGGGTTGACTTTTTCTAACCCTTACTTCCTTGTGAGAAGGCAGCATCGCTGCAGATGCTGGTTGTCCGATAGAAACACCTTACTGCTGTCACACCCCTCCATCACAGTCAGCAGTACGACTTCGCCCTCAGAACTTGGGTAGCTGCTTTTAGTCTCATCGTTCTCCAATCTACCTGTTTGGCATGGTATAACCTTCAGGAACATATGTTCCAGCCAATACAGCTCGGTTGGGTCATCACGACAAACAAGCCCGACCACCACGTCAAGTTAGCAGCTACGATCAGGTTAAGATTGCAAGTAAGGCCTATTTGACAAAATGTCAACTAGAACGAAGCGAGCTGAATTTATTATACAAAAAGACAATGATACCAGTTTTGTATTTAATAATCAAATAGTCACACAAACACTTTTTTCCCCTGAAATAATGTTAATAAATAGTTGAAAGCACAAAACGCAAACCAACAACAACGTATCATCAAGGCATATATATAGTAGAAGACAAAAAAGGATTATACAAACGGTATTAGATATCAAAAAACCAAAGATAAAAGAGACATTTATCACAGTTTATGCATTATATCACAAGTAGGAAACTAAAAAATAATATTCACAAAATAATCAAAATAAATTTTTATCCATATTCCTCCTCTTCCTCTCCTTCAGACCAGTTTTTTCAAAACACCAAAACACACACACACACACACAAGGACACCATTTTCAAATGAGTGCAGATAAACAGAAACAACATTGTTCTTTATTGTTGCTCTTATTAAATATTCATAAAATCTTCTTGACCAACACTGTAAAATTCAATTAGTAATGAACCTTTCATTTTTTGAAATCGTTCAGTTTTTGTATCTTTCCCATAGAGTGCTACTTCTTGTTGACAACGATTGGAAATTTCCGCTTCTGTAAAACTATGCCGTCCAAGAAATACATCGAATCCTAATGAATGTTTATCCATTATCTACAATGATAATAACAACAGTATTAATAATAAGTGATACCGAAAAGGTATGAAAACAATCAGTAAAAGTAAGAGGGTTTATTACGTTTGTGCCTTTCAACAGCATATAAATTTATTTGTATTACATTATACTACTAACTAATAATCAGTAGTCAATATCAATTCAAATCATTTATGAGAAGGCAACATACTATGTGATTAGTATGAATTTGTGGCATTTATTTCATTTATACTAATAATTGTGAATTTCTAGAATCTTTAAAAAAAATGCTTTCATTTTTTGTGTGTTTAGTGAATATTTTGTAATATGAAGCAATTACCAAAGATTTTGGTTCTCAGTTCTTGTTAGGTTGGCAGTGTGATTACTGTGTTGACATTGAGATTGGCTGTTAACCTGGGCTCGTAGTATATCGTAGTAGTAAAATAATTATGAAATGAAAATTGTAAAATGCATTTATTCTATAATTGCAAATCGATGCATACAAATGGAGAATATGCCTCACAAACTGAAGTATTTAAAATGCATTATTCACATGACAATACTGTATTATGAGTTTTTTTTACTCGTTATTATGTTGCTGTGTGTGAATCACTAATCAAAACTAACTAACAAAAAGAATAAAAATCAACGAAAACACGAAAAAATCAGAAGTAGTGAACAAGTCGACCTGTTGATTAAAGTATCGGTACGAAATGCGCTCCATCTACCTAGTTCTTTAGAGAGTCAATTAGTAGTATTGTGGTGTGAGCTACTTATAAGTAGTATATGACGTGAGTGTCAACGTAATGTCTGGCAACAGAAGATGGGGAAAGATCAAGAAAGGAAGAAGAGTGGGGAACACAATGGAATTTGTATGAAACACATGAATAGTGACAATGGATTGATGTTGTTTGCAACAGGAACAATCCAGTTCGATATGATGAACTGATATTTTGCAAATGAACGATTTACGATATGGTTTTCCTATTTTACTGAGTAACTCTGTAATTTTCGTTAAATACAATTCGGTTGCCCTCACCTGTGTTCTCGTTCACTACAGTATCACTAATCACTGTGTACAAACAGTTCACGTCAAAGTAGGCTAATGATATGTGATCACTGACTGATAAACATAGCATAGATAAACACACACTTAAACTATTCACTATTAAATGTGTAATTTCCTATCATCTCAGTGATTTCTAATCCAGACTGCTTGTGGATATATTACATAGTGTCAATGGCTTACTCTGGGTTAATATATTTTTTACTCGTGAATCAGACATTCTGATATAAACTGATCTAATCTAAGTGTATTAAACTGTTCAACCCAGTGGTAGTATAAACTCAGTCATCAAGACCAGCCTCATTGTTGTAGTATACACAGTGGAAAAAGAATAAATATTCCAATATTCTCCGTTATATCAAATTCATAAACTTGTAATAGGCAAATAATCCCAAACAATAAACCAAATATAAATTCATTAAGATTCGTTTAGTTTCACTAGGATCAGTAATTAGGCATTATGAAGCTTTATTCAGTTATTAAACTAGTTGTGAACTGTAGAATTTCCGAAATTATTCTAGTCAAATTAGTGGAGAAATATAATAGTGACAGTTATACATTGCAGCAGGTTCTTTTTTTAAAAAAATATCTGTATACACACTTTATCGGATTAGTTACAACGAGAGTCTTGATCATAGTGCTATGCTAAAATAGTCAACAGCTTGTTATTGATCCTTCTCAGATTACTTAATAGCAAGACAACCTATTAGTATCTATTGTTTAGCTCACAAATAAAATGATAATTCTCACTGTCCATTTATTTATATCGTGAATCAGTGATTGTTAGACTACCATTAGAAACCTAGAGGTACTGGATGGCCGATTCTTCCTAGTATGGGATTCCTCAGCAATGTACATCCACAACGTCTGATAGCGGGAATAGAACATAGAACCTTCAGTCCCGCAAGCGAATTCCTGACTTCTAGACCACTGGGCTGATAAACGAAGTTACTAACGTCTAATTTTGATCAATCTAAGGAATTTGAGCAACATCACTCATTGTCTTTTGTAGTTAGTTATTACCTACACCCAACAGGGTTGGATGAGCACTGTTGAAGAGTTCCATACTAAGACGAAACCGCCGTTTAATGTTGACAGGTTTATAGTGCTGGTCAAACAATGATACATTCAAGATTTCAATGAAAAACAATCATATCCATAACTGTATGATACGAAAATTCTCATGATGTTTAAGCTTTAAACGTTGACTCCGAACGAGATAATAAACTTTATTCATTTAGCAGATATCACTAAAATATTATTCTTCGGTTCAAACTGCAGCATTCAATTTTCAGTTATTGAGTTACAGGTTTAAACTCATTCCATACACATGAGTGATTATTGTAGGCTCAAGTTGTATCAGTTTGCTTCATATCAAAAATGTAGTTTAAAGTGACGTACAATATGATTGAAATTACTACGAGTTCACCTTACTCGGTCAGCGGAACGCAGATCAATGATGCAGTGACACACGATAGGCTATTCTAATCCGATTGTCCTAGGGCCCAATCTAACTAAAGCGATAAGTCTCGATAAAGGGGTAGAGAATGTATTCTACAAGCAACCAGAAAATAGGAGGTTGTTAAGTACATAAATCAGGCTTATTTATACAATGATAGCAACACCCGTCGGAGGGCCACCGAAATAACGTACTAAAATAATCCATCATCCAATGATAATCAAGGATTTCCCAAGTGGGAAATGTAAGCATCCTCTGTGCGAAAACATGGAAATTCAAAATTCCAGAAATAAATTACACAGCAAGGACCTTTCCAAGTGATTTGTGACGATCTAACGTCTACAACACTAATCAATGAATTAATTGCCAACTTGTCCTTCTTTAGATAAAGTGCCAGATTTTATCACTTCGTTTATATATTCAAATGCATACAAAATGCAGTTATTAATAGGTGAAAATCATAGTAATCACAATATTTTAAGGCATTTGTATTCATTTATATAAGCAAAGCGGCATCAAAATATCTATATACATTATATTCATCATTTAGTATGTTGTGTATGAGCTAGAATACTTTTCGGGTGCCAAAACCGAAGCAGGCGGTTTTCTTCGAAGGTCACATTCCCCAAGCCTTTAACTGACAGGTCTAATCTACTAGGCAGTGGAGCAACACCGGCAGGTGCAGTGCTGTGGTCACCAGTGACCAACAATAGGTTTGTACACCCCATTCATTTCGTCAGGATCCTGGAGACTATGTGCAACACTGGTTTAAAATTAGAGTTTTCCAACACCGTACTCGTCAGCCCGTTTAAGGTGCTGAACACTCGATTTTAATTCACTCAATTTAATAAACCGTAGTTGTGTAACTAGAAGGCAGAAGAGAGTAGGACTTCAATAAAAGTGATTATACGAAAGCGTTTTGAGAGAGAGAGAGAGAGAGAGAGCTGGATCTTCACACTCTTGGCTGTCAGTTAGTCAGTCAGCTGCAATGCAGAACCTCGTAAGTAAGTACATCAGTTTGAGTTGCCATACCACATTACGACACAGATCGAATTGTCACTTCAATTCCCATGGTTGCAGTATTAGCGGTAATCGAAAAGATTAATGTTCGAGAAGTATATCCCAAAGAAATAAATTCAGAAGGAGAAAGGACACGAGCAGTACAGAAAAATAGAATTTGAGAGAAGACAAATAATGTATGTATCTGCACCATTGCAAACGAATTTCAGCCATGTCATCCAAAGTTTCTAAGCACCAGTTACCATCGTATCATGGACCTCAACACCTACTAACTTGAATCAGTCCACTTGCCAGTGACTTCATGTGTTTGTTCCATGTTTTGGTCTGGTCGCCCCGCAATTTCTTTCAAACTTCCCCTACACCACAAAACATTGCTCATCAAAGCAGTCAGTGGTTGTGAGGCATACACAATACATAGCTCAAACACGTCAACTGATCAAGATTTACTACTTCATTTCATGACCTGCTATTCTTACCTAGTACTCGTTTACCAACAACATGGTCCCAGGATAAACGAGCAATGCTTTCAAGACACCTATCATCAAATACTCTTAATGGCCACTTCAGACCGTGCAAGGGCATTCGAGAGTAAACAATATGGTAATCAACATCCACCATTTACAATCTGTTATTTTTCAAATTGAGAAATACTAAATAACATGTCATCAACTAAATTCAAGTCACATTATAATCATATTACTAAGTAAGAAAAACCAATACAACAAGAAATATACTCAAAGCACATAATTCTACTAAACTTGAATTAGATATTCCTATCAAATGGCTTAATACTAGATTACACACAGATAACCTCAGATTATAAAAGAAAAAAATAAAATAAACTAGTAAAAAAATTGAAAGTTTAACTATGCATTCAAACAAATAAATATACATATAATCATTGAAAAATTGATCACTAAAATTCATTTGAAAAGTACACCACTGACAAGTATAAGCATTAGTATGCACTTTTGTAATAGTACTGCTACTAGTATTACTACTAACTACTACTACTGCTACGATTCATTACACTAGTTTCTCTATTTACTAATATTAGAGTATATATATATGTATATATGTATATATATATATATATATATATATATATATATATATATATATATATATATATAGTTAACTGTGAAGGTCGGCTTAGCTAGATTAGTTATAAAAGACTCTATGTGACTCTATGTACCATCGGACCACTGGGCCGGCATCCAACGGTGTTCGCCTACAATGCCAAAGGTCCCGGGTTCGAATCCTGCGAGGAGCAGGAGTCGTGGATGCGCACTGCCACTGATGAGTCCCATACCAGGACGAAACGGACGTCCAGTGCTTCCAGGTTTCTGATGGTGGTCTAACAATGATTGATTGATGATTACAAACACTTTTACACAAAGATATTTTCTATGGTATTGAATGCCTCATATATAACATCATGATTGATGATTATACAAATGCAAATCACACTACTTACTTACTTACTTACATGTATTTCAATAGGTTTAGTTAATTTACGTCGATAAAATAGAAAATATTCATTCCATACAGGATTATTATTACTTTGTGATATCGTGGTTTGTACAGTTTCATGTTCACATTTAATAATACAATATGGTGATGGTGGATTTTTACCATCAGGCCATAAAAGATTCGATGCACTATGTACATGTACACGTACAGCTTCTTTTGGTTTACCAATGAAAAAATTTAAAAAACCATTTTGTGGAATATCCAAAGTGAATTCTCTGTAGTAAATAAGTAAAAAAAGGTATATATATATATATATATATATATATATATATATATATATATATAGAGAGAGAGAGAGAGAGAGAGAGAGAGAGAGATGCATAGATTAACATATTAAAACAAATGAATGACAGAGATAACAATCAGTTGTTTTGGTGAATGATAATGTAGGATTTTGATCTTGTGTAATGTGTGATGTGATGTTACGAGTATGAGGGCAGATGTCATTTATACAGTTGCCCATACTGTGGAAGGAAATCGGATTAGTGTGGGTCTTAGTGACTCAGGAGCGTGACCACAGAGCCCAACGGACAACTACTTGAGACTGGTTACATAAAGCCTTTACATGGGAAGTTCTTGAGATGATAGTTCTGCTCTTTAAAAGTCCTTACCTCCTGTTACACATAAATGTAAATATGTCAATTTGATATGTTCGAACTATTAGGAGTTTACCTTAGTCGGAAAACGAGAGCGAGGATCGGGCGACATGATATGCTACTCAAATCTGAGTGTCCCGATCCCCCTATTGAGTAAAAGAAGACTTGATATGAAGTAGAACGTGTATTCTACGGGCATCCAGAGAGTACGAGGTTCGAGTCAAGAAGAGAATCAGGATCCCGGACTAGGGATCCGGATCATAAAACGTTACAGACAATGCGTATTTATACAGTTAGGTCGAATAGGAACAACAGTGAAGTCTGTGACATTGACAGTTAGGATGACCAATAGGAAACAACATTTGAAGTGACACTGACATCTAGGCCGAGCATAATATTGACCAGTAGGAATTGACCAATAGTTCTCTTAGAATATTGGATGAATATCCTAACACCTCCGGAGACGAAAATCTGTAGGGTGAGGTGTGAAATTTGTAGGGTTGATCTTTCCTAATACCTTTCTTCCATTGTGAGGCCAGCACTGTTGCAAATGCTGGTTGTCAGAGAGAAACACACTACTGCTGCCCCACCCCTCTAAAGTCAGCAGTACGACTTCGCCCTCAAACCTTAAGTTTCTGTTTTCAGTCTTACCGTTCTGCAATCAGCCTACATGGCATGGTAAGAACTAAAGGAACATGCGTTCCAGACAATTTAGCTCGATTTGATCATCACGAGATGCAGGTCCGACCACCATGTTAAGGTAGCAGCTACGGTCGAGATATAGTAGTGTAGGAATTGATACGAATATATATATATACATCAGTCAAAAATATTATTCAAAAGAAGCAAATGAGAATGCAGAGTGAGCAGTACAGAGTTAAATAAAATTAAACTTAATAATTATAGAAATATAAAAAATAAATCCAACCATGTATTCATTAATTAAAAATATCTACCCTAAAAATAGTAGGATGAACTGATATCACCTGCTTTCTGAACGTCTCGGTAAATATAATCTCAGCAAATAGGCAGATGTAGATAATGGTTGTTCCATGAAAGGAACCACTAAATATCGACCAACAGTTAAACGTGCACGAATAAGACAAACTCGATACGGTCGAGATGGTTCCACGTGAATTATTTGACAAAATGCTAAAGTATGCGATTTTACCGGGCGATTATTTTCAATCTGAAAATAAATGTCAAGTTATTTATATACATAATAATAATTGAATAACTCAGTTATTAGTATACAAAATTTTTAACATGATGATGAGCAGATATAATATTTTGAAAATTGCATTTGAATAGTCAAATTACTGTATTACATAATTCAAAATTATCAATTTAATTAAACACTTCCGGTATTTTATAAATTCTAATCAATAAGTAAATATTCTCTCAAGTAAGTAATCTTCTTCATCATAGGGTTGTGGAGATTGTTGAGTTACTTATTGAAATCATGAATTGATCAATGTTAGACCATTATTAGAAACCTGGAAGCACTGAAAGACGGCCGTTTCATGATGGTATGGGATTCATCAACAGCGTGTATCTACAACTCCCGCTACTCACAGGAATCGAACCTGAAAACTTAGGTCTTGTGCACGAACGCTTAACCTCTAGACCACTGAACTGGCATCCAACGGTGTTAATTTCTAACCTCGATCAATCTAAGGTATTGCTCAACCTCATTCACTGTCTTGGGTGAGCACTGCTAGTAAGAAGTCGTGAACAATGGAGATTAACCCTGTTCAAGTGTGAAGCAGTGCACACTAAAGACATTGAAACAGGTCGCATAAGACCGTGGACTGATCGAGGTTAGACATTAACACCGTTGGATGCCGGCTCAGCGGTCTAGAGACCAAGTGCTCGCGCATAAGACCGAAGGTTCTGGGCTCGATTCTTGGGAGTAGCAGGAGTCGTGGATGCACACTGCTAATGAGTCCCGTACCAGGACGAAGAAGCAGTCGTCCAGTGCTTCTAGGTTTCTAATGATGGCCTAACATTGATCGATTCATGATTTTAAAGTACGTAACTATCCGAAACTTTGTGACATTTCTCTTATTATAACACTGAATCTATTTTAATCTACACAGTCAATTTCAATACTACTGATTATAGTTAATATGAGACTGCTCTATTACGATTGTATCATTTATGAATTAACTGACTTATTATTGCATATAGCAAACGAATTATTCACTTGTTGGTTAGTGCATAAGTTTATCCATCAGGTCATTATTGAAACGGTTAATGCTTGTACTAGTTTGTATTGACAGTTGTTTGTTGCTGTTAAATTAATCACCTTGAATGTGAGCTTTTAAACATAAGTTATAGATTATAAAACCAATTTATATGTATATCCCTAGAAGCGTAGGTAATCTCTTGACTTCAATCGACTTTAGGGTGAGATATTTTAGTGAACGCATGTAACACGCAGTTTTTGACTCAATCAGCAATTTGATTGTGACCAATTTGTTCTTGTGTGATGTTACGGGTATAAGGGCGAATGTCACTCATCGACCGCGCACATCGTGAAAGAGTATTTCTTGAAGAACATAGTTATTACGATATCAGAAAAAGAGTCGAGTACACAAGATGAAAAAGAATAAGAGACTAAAGTGTGTTTCGTCTTCTTGTATAGGTCAGAAATGTATAGTGGGTGACCCGGCCAAGCGATCTAATATATATATAATCATGAATGCTTGACCTTGAAACTACTGACTTAGGGATTTAGTAGTTCAACACTCTTAATTTAGTAACTAAAATGAACAGCTAAACCATTAATCAAATGAAAAATGTACAATCAATTCTCGGCAACACAGTGAAAACATATTGATTGTTTACAACAATAAACTGATATAAGGAAGGTGAACTCCTGAATTGTGAAAAGAATTTCAAGGTTATGGAAACAACAAGATAGGATCGTTTGACTTAATTAAATACAGTTCATCCATATATCAGAAATAAGTACGGTCAAACTTAAAAACTTTGATTATTATGCAATAGACGAGTAAAGTTGAAGAATTTGGGATCGATAAGTTTTAAGCGTTCTACTTCACTCCGCCTACCGAAATCTATTTGAGCAGTCAAATAATATCTTTAACCTTGGTACAAAACTATGTGTTAGGATAATCATCTAATATCCTAAGAGAATTATTTGTAAGTCTCATTCTATTGGTCAATTCTTATTGGTCGTCCTAACTATCATTGTCACATACTTTCAATGTTGTTTCCTATTCAACCTAACTGTATAAATATGCATTATCTGTAACGTTTTATGACGCGGATCCTTAGCCTCTTCTGGACTCGGACTTCGTACTTTCTGGATGCTTGTAGAATACACGTTCTACTCTTCATATCAAGTCTTCTTCTTCTTCTATTCAGCGGGGGTTTGGGACGCTAGGATTAGAATAGCCTATCGTGTCACTGGATCATTATCTCACTCTCGTTTACTGACTACGGTGAACTCGTGATAGTTCAAGCATATCAAATGACGTGGTCATGCGCATTCGTAACACTATGTGACTCAAAGTTGAGTATATATAAACTCTTACACAAGAAGAGCCAAAGTTCACCTCCTTATTTGGGATGTGTCATGGGTAATATACTACTGACGATTCTCAAAACAACATGTAACAACTCTTTTTAGCTCTGTTAACTTTTAATCATGTCTTAGATTAGGGTCCTATATATAATTCATGTTGCATATTAAATGCATTATTGATCTTTAAGTATATATACTTAATAATTGAAATGAATTAACAACCAAAGCAAATAAACATATCTTAATTAGAATTATCGAGATTAGTGTTTTAACATATTCAGACCAACAATCAACCAATCAATCAATCATTGTTAGACCACCATTAGAAACCTGAAAGCACTGGACGGCCGTTTTGTCCTGGTCTAGGACTCATCGGGCAGTGAGCATCTCTGACTTCTGCACCTCGTAGGTCGTACAAAATCTCTAGATTGATCAGAGTTAGATACTAACACAGTTAGATGCAGGACACGTGGTCCAGAGGTTAGACGTTCACGCTCAAGACCGAAGGTCCAGGGTTCTAGTCCTGCGAGTAGAGCGGGAGTCGTGGATGCGCTCTGCTGATGAGGACAAAACGTACATCTTTCAGTGCTTCCAGGTTTCTAATAGCTGTCTAACCATGATTGATTGATTGATGATTTCAAATGTGTAAAAACATAATTATCTTAATATTCATGCAAAAAATAAAATTTACTCCTACCTTGAATAAACCTAATCCAATCGATAATGGACTTAAATCTGGTTCTATGACCATAGTTAATGGATCACGATTATATTTACGTACAAGTGATAATAGAACTTCATCGGAATCATTCATAATATCAAAATAATACTGGAAAAAAAGAAATTTTGAAAATTGAATTATTAGTTTTTTGGTTTGTTTTAAAAAAAACATGATTATTAAGAAAAAAAATTTTCGAAGACTTTTTTAAAACAAACTATTTGAGATTCAGAGTATTTTATTAATATCTTCATATATACATCAGTTCAAGTTGCCATACACCATGATAGTACAGAGGATACGATTGTCTATTCAAATCCTAATGTTGTAGAGGTAGCACAAGTATGAACAGTAATCGGAGAGAGATTAAGGTTTGAAGACGTTATTCAAGGAGTACAAAATATAGTGAAATAAATTTGAGAAGACAAAGACGAAGGTTATGATGAGGATTTCAGATTAGAATTTGGGAGAACATAAAGAGTGGATGCATCTACGCCATTTTAAACGATTTTGAGCCATGTCATTCAAGGTCTCTTCTAACCATCGGTTCACTAATGTCTCGCGGACTCCAAACAGATAGTCTACACTTACTAACATGGTTCAGTCCAGCTGTCAGTGACTTCATGGATTTGTGAAATGTTTTAAACTGGCCGCCCCTAGCTTTCTTCCAACCTACTCTTACACTACAAAACATCGCTCGTCTAGGTAGTAGGCGGTTAGGTATATGTAGCACCTGTCCAAACCATCTCAACTGATGACAATGCAGTACTTCACCAATTGATTTGCCATCCTTACCTAGTACTCTTTTCTTAACAACAGCATTGATTACTCAATTGCCCCAGGATATACGAGCAATGCTTCGAAGGCATCGATGATCGAATACTAATAACCTATGAATATCCTCTACTCTTACCGGCCATGTTTTTCACAGCCATAAAGTAGTCAGTGTTATGCAATAAATAAGCTCGAAAGTTACAAATTTACCACGAAGTTAGTTTGAAGCAAACACATTAGTGAAAGCTTTAAAACAAAACAGATGGAACGATAATATAAGGAATTTTGTCAACTAATAAAATGACGAACTTCCTTTACTACTGCATAACAGCTTTCATGAGACAAAGAATAGTCACTTATGAAAAATTTTAGTTTCGGTAATGGATTTAGAAAGTTCCAATATCAACTGAGTACTATTCAATTCTTTTGCTACATTTTATCTAATAGTGTACTTCGATACAATGAGTTATACATTTAATTTTACATTGAAGTCATGAATGAATCATTGTTAGACCACCATTTAAAACCTGGAAGCACTGAAAGACGGCCGTTTCGTCCTGGTATGGGACTCATGAGTGGCAGTGAGCATCCACGACTCCTGCAACTCGCAGGATTCGAACCCGGGACCTTCGATATTGTGCGCAAACGCCTAACCATCGGACCACTGGTCCGGCATCCAACGGTGTTGATGTCTAACTTGATCAATTCACAGTAACTACCGAAGACTGTGTATGAGGTTGCGCAGCTCCGTGAACTGATCAAGTTAGACATTAACACCGTTGGATACCGGACCAGTGGTCCGATGGTTAGGCGTTCGCGCACAATACCGAAGGTCCTGGGTTCGAATCCTGCGAGGTGCAGGGGTCGTGGATGCGCACTGCTGATGAAATCCCATACCAGGACGAGACGGACGTCTATCAGTGCTTCCAGGTTTCTAATGGTGGTCTAACAATGATTTATTCGTTATTTCAATGTAAAACGATGGTATCCATAATCCTATAATGCTAAATACACTTAATTGTGTAATTTCCTGTTCTAATTTCAACTTCCTACAAGACCCTATGCTTTCTGATTGGTTGTTACTGTTTTTAGTTCACTATATTTCTGCACACTTGAAGGTTACTTAGCTACAGAAGTTGTAGCAGTTCGTTTGGTACCATATTTCCTACTTTGAGTATAATGTTCCCAGAAATTTGTCTTCTCCCGATGTCAGCCATCGAATGTTAATGTGTGTTATGCGGAAATTAAAGTGGTCGATTTTGAAAAGAATGGATCGTACTTAAGTACGAATGTTCGAAACAAAGAGGTAACTACTACTCAGTCGCACAACATCCAAATAACTGAATAGTATTAGTCAACGAATAGGATAGTTCTGTCTTCAAGGTCAACTTACTAAGAATCAAACTCATATATTTCAATCTCAAGGTTATGTTGAGTAGCTAGCTTAACAGCATATCAAGAACAAATCTCTCCCTACATATCGATGGGTAGTTTAAGATCATAACAATCGGTTACAATAATTGCGCAAATCTGAAATAAGTAGTCTGCAGCTACCTACCAACAAACCAACCAACCAACACAGCCTAGTTCAACAGTCAATAACTTTATGAACCAATGAGTTTGGCGATGTCAAACTTCAGATTGAATTAAAGATAGAATAAATTTATTGATTCAATTGACATATGCTTAAAGGAGTAAATTATCAACTTAGATTAATTGTTAGTAAAATATAGTGAATAGAACGATGAGAATAAGCAATTAATTTGAAAAATGTTGTAAGTGTATTTGTGCCATACATATTTCGAACATATATACACTTGTCAAGGCATTCTATAATGAAACTATAATTAAAAGGTTAATTAAGGGCATAAGATTGACATTAAGACAGCCTTTAAAACATTGTATAGAAACGCTGAAAGACAAATTCTGAGGTTTATAGAAGTCTTAGCTATTCGTGAATTCAAACCGCCTCACTGTGTACAGAAACAATATGTTATAACCTTGAGTTTAGCCTTGGGATTCATCTTTAAGCTATTTTGTGGCCTAGAGCAATATGACAATTTCTTACCCTTTCTTATTCTTTGATTTCCTCTCTCTTCTTTTATTTACAATTATCACCGTATGCCTCCTACTTGAACTTTTGTTTGATATGATTCTTACATAAAATGCCTTAACAAAGGTATATGATACACATTTTTTGAAACCATGAATCGATCAATGTTATTAGTCCACCATTAGAAACCTGGAAGCACTGGAAGACGGCCGTTTTTTTTGTCCTGATATGGGACTCATCAGCAGGGCGCATCCACGGTATATATGTGTGTGACCAGATTGTTCAAAATATGTATGGTGCAAATACACTCACTACATTTTTTTCCAGATCAATTATGACTTCTCATTGTTCTCTATCAAAATTTATAAAAGAGAAATTTTAGGAGTTCTAGTTGAGGAGATGTGACCAATGGAGTTCAACCATGTCGGGTGTAGGCAGTAACTACCAAAGACAAATGGGTGAGGTCGCGCAAAATCGGTAGATCAATCAGAGTCATACATTAACACCGTTGGATGCCGGCCCAATGATCCGATGGTTAGGTGTTCGCGCACAATACCGAAGGTCCCGGGTTCGAATCCTGCAAGGTGCAGGAGTCGTGGATGCGCAGTGCCACTGATGAGTCCCATACCAGGATGAAACGGCCGTCCAGTGCTTGTGGGTTTCTAATGGTGGTCTAACAATGATTGATTGATCATTTCAAATGTGTAAAAACACAATACCTCCAAAACTCTGCCCGAAAAAAAGGGAATAATTGTTTTTTTTTCTTAAAAAAATATTTAATTTGAAGAAATATCAGAAAAAAAGATTTTTTTTAAAAATTTTCATCAACTCACTTGAGGATTATGTAGAAATGTATTACGATATTGTAAATTGCCACCAGTTTGATGACCATACCAAGCACCATGATGTTCACATAAACGCCAAGTTATGTGTCCAGGTAAACTGACAAGACTGGTATCTGGAAAACGACATATTAACACACCAGACATAGATTCTAGTATGGATTCAAGTGGCATCCAAAATTCTGTTTCAGAATCAAATGTTAAGCCTAATCGTTTTCTTGCTTCTAAACTAATTTCTTCCCATTCCTAAGAATTATATACACACACCAAGAAAAACAACAACAAAGGATTCAATTAGAGTTATGGAGATTAGTGTTTTTTGCGCATTGAAATCATCAATCAATCAATCAATCAGTCATTGTTAGACCACCATTATAAAACCTGGAAGCACTGAAAGATGTCCGTTTCGTCCTGGTATGGGATTCATCAGCAGTGCGCATCCATGACTCTCGCTACTCGCGGGATTCGAACCCAGGACCTTCGGTCTTGCGCGCGAACGCCTTACCTCTGAGCTGGCATCCAACAGTGTTAATGTCTAACTTTGATCAATCTAGAGATTTCGCGTGACCTCGCCTATTTGTCTTTGGTAGTTACTGCCTATACCCGACAAAGTTGATGAACTCCAATGGTCACAATGTCTTCTCACTAGATTCAGTTTACAAAACTTTTTTTATGGTAAACAAGATGACGTAATTGAATACTGGACTTCATTACTATTGGAATGTACATATTTTAATGCATGAATTAATGTTTATTACTAATCAGATGTTCAAAACTACATTTACTATTGAATACAGTATAAAAGTTCAATGTTTTAATCAATCATCCATTATTATTACATATAAACAGAGAATTTGTTTAAAAATATATCATAATTGAACATTCAATTAGTTTTGAATTAGGACAATATCATGTATGTTGTCATTATTGTTTTGTAAAAACAAACTATAAGCTAGCACGAATTAAGACGCTAAAAACTAAAGGACTGAGGTCCAATGTTACTAGTAACACTTCATTCAGTACATTATTTATGAGTGAAATCGCAAAACAGAATGACCTTGCTTAACATATGAAATTCAATATTGAATCGGAGAGTTGGAAAGTAACAGTAGGACTTTACTTTTAAATTAATAAAATGATAAGAAATACTCAGATATTTTTTGACTTTCTAGTTACGACTCCAATCTATATTCAATGCAAGTACTCACATGAATACGTAATTCAAGGATAGCTTAAAGGTCAAAGCATTTCGATTTTAATCATACGGTTGCAAGTTCGAAACCTAGTCCAAAAACTATTGTTTGCATAATTAGAATGTATCACAATCTAACATAGAGAAGTTGAGTTTGACTGAAAGCTTACAATTGGTACATCGGTTACATACCAACATCAAGGTCAGACTTTCAAGACAATTCTACTGTATGAGGCAGAAACTTGGAGAACTACCGAAGCCATTATCCACAAGATACAAGTGCTTATCAACAGTTGTCTACGCAAAAAAATTCTTTCGATCCGTTGGTCAGATACTATCAACAGCAACGTACTGTGAGAGAGAACAAACTAGATTCCAGTGGAAGAAGAGATTAGAAAGAAGCGCTGGAAGTGGGACAGAACATATATTGAGGAAAGCTCACAACTGTGTCACAAGACAAGCCCTCGCTTGGAATCCTCAAAGTCAAAGGAAAAGAGAAAAACCAAAGAACACACACTATGCCGAGAAATGGAGACAGACATGTGTAGAATGAAGAACAATTGGATAGAAGTAAAAAAAGAAAGGCTCAGGACAGAGTAAGTGCGAGAATGCTAGTCCGCGCAGCCTATGCTTCAGTATGCGTAAGTAGATCGATTGCATCAGACGAGAAGTTAGTAATTGGTGAAAAAAACTTATGCACAACACACATCATTATTAAAAGCTTTATAAAAGACATGAAAATATATACAGTTGTAGTTAATATTCATAATATTTCATTGTTTATTTGATTCTATCATTTTATGTAGACTGCCTTTATGATTGATGTGTTTATAGATTTGTTATTTAGTCTAAGGGCGTTTAATTTGTTGCTGAAAAAAAGAACCCAAACAGATGGTAACTTAATAAAAAGCTTCGTTGACAAGAATCTAATTTCCAACATAAATTAGAGTTATGGAGATTAGATTTTTTACACATTAAAATCATGAATCAGTCATAGCCATTAACACTGTAGGTGTTCGTTCGCAAGACTGAATGCCCTAGGTTCGAATCCTGCGAGTAGTAGCAGTCATCCCATACCAGGACGAAACGGCTGTGTTTCAGTGCTTCCATGTTTCTAATGGTGATCTAACGATGATTGATGCATGATTTCAGTATGTATACATAACAATACAGAATGAGCTCCATTACACACACACACACACACACACACAAAATCAATCGTTATAGCAAAATTATTGACTAAATGAAAAACAAATTCAGCAAACATACACTAGATGTTGAACTATAAGCTCCTTTCCATTCACCTTGACCACAACCTCCATCAATTACACTTAAA